AAGAACTCGCCCAATGATCCAATTGGCACTACTCGGAATCCACAGAACAACTCGCCTAATTTGATCTACAAGCGCCACTCGCTTGGGCTCACTAAAAAACTTGCCCTTTTAAGGGGTAGATTAGGGATTCCTCATCAAACCAATGACTCGGGGCCGACCACATGCTTGCACAGCTATCTTAGTAACTCTCTCTCTCTCCTAGTGTGATAATCCTAATCTCTCTTTGCTATAGAAAAGTGTCTATCTTAAAGTTCCTCAACTTGATGTACTAATAACGGCCACTAAGCTCGCCTTTTTAGTAAACTTAGCTCACAAATAGTCTCAATTCGGGTGAAAAAAAGCTTAGCATCGATCACCCACGATTCATAGTCAAAACCTAATCACTAACTCACCTTGCTTAACACATGCTCACAAAATCTCCTATTCCCACTTGGCACCAAGAACTTGACATGATCGGATGCCAATGGAAGAAAGAATAATGATGAAAATTAAAGGCTTTTTAGATGTGCTTAAAGGGAAACTAAAAGGGAGAGTATACCCAAAGGTTCTTCCAAATCGACAATTCATCACAGGCGAACCGACAGATATTCATTAACCTCTACAAAGAGCCTACTCACATGCAAACGAGAAATGAGGAGTAAACTCACTTACCAGGCAAGTTAGAGAGAATGAGCTCAGGTTCTCAAGGGAAATCAATCACCTTCTCACCTAACCCTAAGTTAATCATGCCACACTTAGATCTTAGGTGGTTCACTTTCTATTCATTTGGGGTGATTAATTCATTCGTCGGTAATTCACGCGTCAAAAAATCTAAACCGGCGAAATGTTTCTGCACGAATCATTTCCGACGACTTTAATATTTCCGGCTCAATTCAGGTAAAAAAATGATGTTTATACATCGACTTTCCTTGACCAATTCCAGTGTTTAATCCAATGCTATTTTTGGTGGAAAAGTTGCACTAGAAGTATCAACAAATAATATGTCGCCTTGATCCGTCGCACTACTATCGACGGATAGAACTGGCGGATCATCTGTCAAAAATATCGGTGAAATATTGCATCGAAAATACCAATCCATTTTCATTGTATCGTATTGCCAATGATTTTTCTAACGAAATATCTTCCGGAAACCTATAGCAACAACAACAACATCAAGCCTTTATAGATCCCACTATGTGGGGTCGGCTACATGAATCATTTTTCTCCATTGTTTCCTATTAAATGTCAAATTCTCGTTTAAATCTAATAAAGAAAGGTCATTCCTAATATTTTCTAACCAAGCCTTTTTAGATCTGCCTCTATCTTTCTTAACATAAGTCAAATCTAATACCTCTACTCTCCTAACCGAGTCATTGGAAGGACGCCGTTTTATGTGACCAAACCATCTAAGGCTAGTCTCTCTCTAATCTTATCTTCTACTAGAGCTACTCCAACCTTTTCACGTATATGCTCATTTTGTATCCTATCTCTAAGGGTAAAGCCACTCATCCACCTAAGCATCCTCATCTCTGCCACACTTAACTTAATATAATGCTTCTCTTTTAATGGCCAACATTCAGCACCATAAAGCATTGCAGGCCTCACTACATCTTATAGAATTTTCCCTTAAGTTTGAGGGGTACTTTTCTATCACACAATAAGCCCGATGCATTCCTCTACTTCAACCATCCAACTTGAATTATGCTCATAATATCTCCATCAATTTCACCATCACTTTGAACAATAGATCCAAGATACATAAAACGTGTACTCTTACTAATGACTTGATCGCCCAAAGTCTCACAATCCCCTCACTAGGTCTATTACTACTAAAATTACACTCCATATATTCCATTTTAGATCTACTTAAGTGAAAACCTTTAGTCTCTAATGTTGACCTCCATAATTCAAGTTTACTTCAACTCCATCTCTAGTCTTATCAACAAGAAGAATATCATCAGCAAAAAGCATAAACCAAGGAACATCCTCTTGCAAATGTCTAGTGAGAATATCCATGACTAAAGCAAAAATATATGGGCTTAAGGCTGATCCTTGATGTAACCCAACCGAAATAGGGAAATACTTGGTCAAACCACCTTGTGTTTGAACACAAGTAATAGCTCCCGCATACATATCTTTAATGATTTGAATATAAGCATTATTAACTCCTTTCTTTTCAAGAACTCTCCATAGCACTTCTCTTGGAACTTTATCATATGTTTTTTCTAAATCAATAAAAATCATATGTAGATCCTCCTTATTTTCTCTATATTTCTCCATCAAACCTCTTAATAAATGTATGCCTTCCATAGTCGACCTACCCGGCATGAATCCAAATTGATTTTGAGAAACATTAGTATCATGCCACAACCTATACTCCATAACTCGCTCCCATAGTTTTAAAGTATGACACATTAACTTAATTCCTCTATAATTCGCACAATCTTGTGCATCACCTTTATTCTTAAAAATATGAATTAACACACTCATTCTCCACTCATCTGACATCTTTTTAGTCTTCAAAATAGTATTAAAAAGTTTAGTAAGCCAAGAAATTCCTTCATCTCCTAAGCATTTCCACACCTTTATTGGAATATCATCAGGTCCAACAGCTTTTCCATCCTTCATTTTCTTTAAAGCCTCTCTAACTTTGGTTTTACTAATACGCCGATAAAAACAGACATCTTTATTTTCATTTAGGGTGCTAAGGTCTCTAACTTTGGTCACTAATATGCCGGAAACCTATAGCATAAACAAAAAATAACCTTCCGACTTATGAAACTGATTTCTACAATACAACTTGCATACAAAAGTTCTAATATTTTATACATTCAAACATTACAAAAACAAGAAGAAGAGATGTTCAAAAATAATAACATAAGCAAAAATAAGAAGAATATCATCAACAAAATGTTCAAAACTATATAAATGTCCAAAAACAAATAAGTGCAATTGTCCAACAAACAAATAAGTACAGAAGTCCAAAAATAAATAGGTACAAATATCCAAAAAGTTTGGGGAAAGTCTCAGACACGAGCGGAGTGAACCAAAATGAAGAAGGAAAAAAATGAGAAGAAAGACCGTGGAGCAGTCAAAATAGGGCTCTTTCTATTGGACTTTTCAGCATATTCTTCACCAGTAATATTATCGACGGATAATATGCAGGAAATTTTTCATTGAGTTTAAGTAAGCCTACATAATTTACACAGATGATTCCACAGATAATTTCTGGTAGAAATTGCACCGGAATATAAAATATACCGACAAAAAAATCTAAGGAATATACGTTGGTATCATCACAATGGAATTTATGCATGTAATTTTGCAGTAAAGTTGCCGACATTTATTCTACTGGTTACTCTGCCGCTTTTTTTAGTGCATATATGTTCGCCGGAAAGTCCGATGGTAATGGCAGATTTTCCTGTAGTGTTCGATCCCTTCGACGACCCTCGCCAGCCTACTATGGTTCCTCCAACTATCGTGGCATGCTGATTATAATCCCCATGACCTCTATTTCTCATTAACTATGCTGTCTCCAACCACTGTTGCCCAACTATGATCCTTCCAAAAATCATTTCCCTCAAACTATGATCCCTTTAATTTTATTCATTGCCCGTAGACTACAGTCCCTCTGACCATGCATCGTCGCCCAACTACGGTCCCTTTGTCCTTTGTTTCCTGTCGATTGCAGTCCTTCTGACCACCTAGTGACTACGCTCCCTCCGACCATGGTCTCCTGCCAACCACGGTCTATCTGAAGTCCTCTGTCACCAGATTACTATCCCTCTAACCTCTATCTCCCATAGACTACAATCCCTTTGCCCATGGTCGCGATCGCACGCTGACTATGGTCCCTATGGCCATGGTCGCCCACCAACCTCTATCACCCACTGTCCACCATCGCCCGCCAACTACAGTCACTTTGACCACCTTTGCTAGCCGACTAAGGTCCCTCCGACCATCATCGCCTGCTGACTACAATTCCTCCAAGCTTCGTCGCCTGACAATGGTCTTATGATCGATCTTCGTCACTTGACTACAATTCCTCTTATCTCTGTCACCCAGCTACGGTCCTACCAACCAAATGAACTGGTTAGCATTCTATTGAGAATAAATCTCATATTATTTTGATTCTTCCAACCTCAACTTTTTAATATGCTCTATATTTTTTTCATTGAGCCAACCCCTTCTCCTGAGTAAGTGCATCATTTGTAATCAACAACAAAGACTAATGGATTCATTTCATTAGGGTTAGGCCTCATGATTTTTCTCATTTTCATAGTTTTTTATATAAAAATATTGGTTTTACTTTTTACTCTTGCACCATTTTCTCTTTATTTGTATGTGTATTGGATATTCATACAAAACTTTGACACTAAACTCTACATATATCTCTCTACCATCGCGAATGTTCCAGGATGCAACAATATTTATGATTATCAAATTATGATTAATACTTTAGGGCATGGGATTAACACATGAATCAATTCACTAGTTTCAACTCAAGGACATTGATCATATAAATTTGGATTCTTCTAAGCATATGCTTATATATTCAAATTGAATCTTAATTTGGTTTTTCTAAGGAGCCTTAAGATTCACGTTTTAGATAAAATAAAATATTTTTTACACCTCTAATATAGATACATTTAAATAGTTAAAATGTTATGAAACAAATTTCTTTTTCATAAATAGTTATTGTTTTATCAACCACATAATTTCACCTTCTCATGTAATATGAGTTTCTTCATGCTCAATGACAATGGATTTACTGAGAATCTTCTCATTCATCAAATCCGAATATGCTTCGCTCAGAACAAGATTTATTAAACAAAAATAATTAAAAATGGTGGATGCCTAAGCCAATTCTTTTTCTAACAGTTGCAGCCCAATTTTAGCTGGCCATTTGGAAGATGCTCGTCAATTGCCCAAAATCCCAAACAAATAGACAACTAATCTCCATCTTCCTTATAAAAACCTCCTATTTATAACCTATCCAAGACTTGAGAAGAGCAGAGCTCTCTTGTTCCTTTCCTCTTCTTCTCAAGTCTCAATACCGAGCTCTCAAGCACGCTAACAATGGCGTCCGCAATCCCCAAAGCTCTGCTCTTTCTCTTTATTGCTTCTACCCTCTTCTGCTCCTGCGTGCTCGGTAATAATGGATTAATTAACCATCAAATAATCATGACTATCGCTAATTAGTCTTTTCATCTTCTTATTCACTGATTGATGTCATCATTTAATTAGCAGGAGGGATCACGTGCGAGCAGCTGGATAGCAGCAAGTGCGCGTTCGCGGTTTCGTCCTCCGGTCTGCGTTGCGTGCTTGAGAAGAACGTGCGAGGCGGTGGTCGGGAGGTCGAGTACTCCTGCCGGAATTCCGGCGTGGCGGCGACCGACGTGACGGACTGGATTGAGACGGATGAGTGCGTGAAAGCCTGCGGGCTAGACCGCAACACCGTCGGAATCTCATCCGATTACTTGGCCAACCGGCGGTTCCAGCGGCGGCTCTGCTCGTCGGAGTGTTATGACAGTTGTCCTAACGTCGTTGATCTCTACGCCAACGTCGCCTCCGGCGAAGGTAACGTCTATAATATCCATGGTCGATATATAAATTTGCCGATCTTTGAACTAATACAAAATTTAGCGGTTGAATAAAGTATGCATATAATATTCAAATTTTGTACATATGAAAATTAATACCTTATTTCTAATTTATAAAAACATAATGAAATTTTATTTCATTATTTTTCACTTAAATTTTTAATCAGCCCATCGGGACATATAAAAATATATAATTTACAAATTTATTTTTATAACTAAAGTGATAATTATAGAAATAATAAAAGTGCGATGACAAACATAATTTCTTAAGAAAATTAAATAAAAAGAAAGCACTGTTTTTTTTTTGGAAGAAGAAAGCACCGTTATTAGCGCATTTAATTAGTACAAATTATTTTAAAAAAAAATTATAAAATTTTAATTAAATGATTTAAAAATTACTAATAATATATTTTATATCAGGTTTTTTTTTGGTACCCCCAAAATCATGATATTCTTAATATGGTTCATATAAATATAGGTGTTTCCCTGTCGAAATTGTGCGAAGTAATGACCAAACGACGCGAAATGATCGAAACAAACAGCTCCGGCGGATCCGAAGGCGACGATACTGAGTCGACGGCGGCCGCGCCGTCTGTGGGAAGAAAGCTAATAGGATGGTACGCATCGGCTCCGCAGAACGGAAGGAAACTGATAGCTTTTTATGATGCAGAAGATGAAGAAGCAGCCGCACCTGTTTGAATCAAGCAAGAGGACAAAGATCGCATTACTTATATAAAGCATTTATGCGGAGCTGATCTTAGGCGCATATGTTGTATCGCATAATAAAATATTTGGGTGTGGGAGACTTTTATTTTGTTTAGGGTTTAGCCTATTTGAAATTTGTGTGGTTTGTGACTTTGTAAGATTATGTTAAGGGGTTTACTTTATTAATCGCAAGTATTGGGTATGTTTTAAATTATGAGAAGATAATTTTTTACATATGTTTTATATACATGCT